CACCGGCGAGAAACAATGGGAAGAGTTTATTTCACCCTATGCCCCTGTTACCTAGCAGTAAAATAGGTACCTGGGTGTTAGTCAGCTGTCACGGGCTGCTTCCTGGGGGTGGAGGCCTGGTCGAGGACCGGGCCGCTGGGACACTAAAAAGCCCCGAAATCATCTCAAGATAACCTCAAGATAGCCTCCTGTGCTGAAGCTTAGATATACATTCGTACATCCCATAGCCACTTTAACACCCGCCCCGGGTGGTAATATAGGCTCTATAATATAGGCTTTTTTTCCTAAATCTAAACTTATCCAATTTATACCCATTGTTTCGTGAAACAATGGGAAACTAATCTGAAGTTTCACCAGCTTATATTACCAGTAAATATATGCAAGCACCTGCTGTTAATCCCTATGGTAACGCACACATCAGGATGTTAGTTTTCACTTGTGTTGGAGATAGTGCCTGGCCTTGTTTACAATAATAAGAGGCCAGATAGGACACACATCCGTTCCCCCGGCAGCTCCTGGCACACTTTAAACATATCTGTTTACTCCTAAATTTGTTAATTGTTTTGTTGCGGCCACTCGTGGGATTTTTTGTCTGCTGCTGTTGTTGTTGGAATATAACCGAAGTGTGTGTGTGACATTTTGATGCAGACTATATTGTTCAGCTATTAGGTAACCGTGTAATTTATTATAGAAATCCATGTACATGTATATTTACATCATGCTTTTTTTTACATTTTTTTTATCTTTATTAAATAATATACAATATAAATCATTCATCAATTTTACAAGGAAATACTACATTACATATACAGTAGTATAATTCCTCATTAAACAAGGGTTTCATATCATTACAGAACATGAACTTTAAACCCCTAAATGTTTATACTTTTTTTCCTTAAATGATTTACAATTTAAAGATTACATTTACATCAATTTACTGCTGGTCTCTGTGAGTAGCGGTTGGTCTATGTGTCACTTGGCCTTCTGTGAGTACCAATATGAAATAATCGTGACCACAAATATAATTCTGATAGGCATGGACAAAAATAGACCAAAATGTAAAGTTGATCATTTATTAGCTTAACGAACTAGAGGATTCAGTTCCTGAACCAATTATGTGCCTCTGTAACCCTTTACACCACCGTCCACGGGATGGGTATGGGGTGCATAATAAAGAAATGAAAATGAATAGCGTTAGGATGAGAGGAGAGTGAGGGAGCCTCGACTCCCTACGTGAGCAGGACCTACTTAATTAATGTAAGGACAGTGAACATATGTTCTGTGCAACGGTGGTTGTTCAGGCTAAATCCGTTCACGATTGCATGAGTAGGCTATATGTGCTAAGAAGCGAGGTTTGAGACATTGAAAGGCGTGGCCCCAGGAGCTGAAGCTTGACCCCTCCCCCCACTATAACTGGGTATACATACACTCGTTCATACACGTCTTTACTGCTTTATTATTGCCACGCTAAATTTACTAGTGAATCCAAATTTTCAGCCTATAAGAGGAATCTTCATATTTTTCTCACAATTGTAGATTTTTTGATTTTTTTCGTAACGGTAATTTTGTTTTTCCTTTTGGTATGAAGACGTGACTTGCTGAACCCAGTTCAACATCACCCCGTGTTGAACATTTTAGGGAGAGGCTTGGCTGGGGGAGGAATCTTTCCCGTCTTCCCACTTGGGAAGTGGTGGTCACGTGCCCCGTCTCCCCGTGGCGGGGAAAAATGTGAAAATGGCGGCTGAATACAGTATATTATTACGTGTTATGTTTTGTTGGAGTACGTGCCTTGTTCACGACACGTGCTGCACGGCCCAAGGCCTTGAGGTCTACAGTGGCTTGTGTACTGTGTAACCTACACAGTACACAAGCCATTATGTGGTGGCATCGTCACACACATTAATGTAGAATTGATTTAACATTTTGGAAATACATTAGCATTTTTTTTAACATGCTATAGTACATGCTTTGAATATACATATACACACATAACCGGTAAGCACTGTTAGGTATTTTTTGTTTGAAATTGGGAATGATACATATTTGTCAAGGATTACAATAAAAATACATATAATAATAAATTTAATAATGACATTGAAGTCATAATAATAATCCTTGTTCTGGTGTATATGGATTTGAACCATGATATCGAAATGCTGAAGATTTTAATAAAATATTCTGTGAATGCTCTTAAATTTATTAATACTTGTATGAGGCTGGAACCTCAGAACCAGAGCCTATAGTGATGAAACTTCAGGTTGTCTTCTATAACAAACTCTTTTTCACTCTTGATACTATTACTCTTTTGATACTATTACTGGCTAAAGAGTTAGGAATAATGTAGTTATCTTGGTTATCTTGAGATGATTTCAGGGCTTACCGTCCCCGCGGCCCGGTCCTCGACCAGGCCTCCTTTTTGTTACACACCCCCAAGAAGCAGCCCGTAGCAGTTGTCTAACTCCCAGGTCCCTATTTACTGGAAGGTGAACAGTGGCCTCAGGGTAAAAGAAACTGCCCATTTGTTTCCGCCTACACCGAGGATCGGACCTGGAACCTTAGGATTACGAATTACGAGCGCTATCCACTCGGCTGTCAGGCTATGATGACCAAACAACAAGTCAGAAGATGGAGAAGCGACTCCATCAATAATATGGTTATTAAAACATAATCTAGAAGCTAATCCACTACGGGCTTACCATAGCCCGTAGTGGTACACACTCGGACGCTTGTTCAGAGTAGCTGAATCTTCATGAAACCAGGTATAGATCTCCATTAGTCAGTGCCTTTGAGGTAGACAATTGTTGTGGTCTGCTTCCCGGGTAAGGTCAGTAGCTCGATCTAAGGAGGCCCCTCAATACAGGCCGGCATCCTGTAACCGTGTAATATATTATAGAAATTCATGTACGTACTTGTATATTTGCATCATGCTTGATGGCTGGTCTCTGTGAGTAGTGGTAAATCCGACAAGGGGATTCACATGGCTGTGAATTATAACATTAAAATGTTGAGTTGAGTAAACTGTGTTGTGAATATTGGAACTGCCAGTGACACAAGTTGGTGTCCCTCCGCGTACTCGCAATAATATTACTCTGGGCTTGCATCATTAACAACAAGAGTTCATGACAATGTTGTTGTTTTTCTGAACCAGGAGTCAAACTTTCAGTCAAGACCACGTTGGAGTTTTTGTTAGTTGCCGCCTCGTGTTCCAGTCTTGGGAGGCTGGTCTCGTCACGATATGTTGTGCTGAGAGAGCCAGTCCATGATTACAGCCACTTAAGGCACCACTTACTCTTTATGGTGATGTGGCAAGAACGTTGTCAATAATACATAGTATATATTTATACTGTATAAATATTATATATATATTAATATAAAATATATTTTAAATATGTTAATATATATTATAAATATATTATTAATATATATTTATATATATTAATATATCTTGGGCACAAGTCCAACTTCAGAGGAATTCGAAGAGGTGTTTGATTGACTTACAACAGTGATCACAAGTGATCGAATCTGTACGTGACATTAAGGTATGCCGTTGGTGGGTTTTTCATTTTACTTATATTGGTTGTGTTGTATGTGTCAAGGCCACATTTTGTAATCATGTAATCTTGTACAATAAAGTTCTTATATAATATATATATGTGTGTGTGTGTCTGAATAAAAAATATATTTGCCGAATGAAGAAATTAAACCGCACAAACAGGAATCTTTCTTCCTAAAATTGATTGAAAGAATTGGTGTTGCAGTCTCCGAAGCACAGAACGAAAAGTTGTCTGAAAAATATTTTTGTACCAAAACACTCAATTAAAAATGGTCGGGTGCAGCTATGACCTGCTTCACATCGGTCAGTAGGCCTACAGGCTCCATGTAACCACGCCTTATAAATAACTAGCCCAATTTTAACTTATTGCGCATAAATTTAAGAAAATTAAATGAAGCTTAATAAGACTTATTTATGATCTAAGGAAATTTGGCTAATTATGAGCAAACTCATTAAATCTCGATTAAATCCTATTTATTTTATAACAAGCTGATATACCCCCACTCCCTTAAATAATTTAGCTCCTATTTGTACCTTAGAACGTTAAGACATTCATGAATTACGTGACAACAACAACCTATTGTACATTTTATACATCATATATTTTACTGTCTTGTATGGTGCAATAAAACTAACCATTAGCAACATTAGTTTTAACGCGACGGAGTGGTCTTAAGGCTAGCCACATAATGGCTTTCTAAACCTCTTATTGTATTTTGTGGAGTAATGTGACCCGGTTGTTATTGAGTGGGGTCATGAGCTTGTTTGTGCAGGACCTCCACCTCTACCTGCTCACCTTTAAATGAGGCTTCCAGATCAACAGGTGTGCGCGCGCTCGTCTGTGCATCAATTTTTGGTAATGCGCGCGCTCGTCTGCATCTATTTTGTCAATACGAATATTTTATAAAAATGATTTAATTAACTTGGGGGTCTCTTGACCTTTGGCGTTTTATTACAAATATCAATGCTCTCATTATTGCTGGCATAATATTATTATAATTCATTTTTATCTGCTACCATTTATCTAGACAACTTTTTCATTTAGGTTATTTGTTCTAGTCATATAATTATGAAAGAATTAGGGCCTGGAGCTCGGAGCTAAACGTTCCGATTATTCATAGTCATGCACAGTCATTACTACTACTACTACCTGTGTAAATATTACATTTCTCATTTACAATTTAAGGTAAATTTGGCAGCGTCAGATGCGTGGGCTAGATGGACATGCTTCAGTGTGTTTTGGGATATACAAGTGCATACGTGTGTGTTTAAGTATGTTGCCACTAGATACAAATATGCATGTAAATGAAATCTTGTTCATGATTGTATAGACTTTTTCCAGTTAATGTTGCCAGTGGATATTGGTTAAATGACAAAAAAAATTACTCAAGTAATATAGTAAAATATATTTCATTGGTATTGATAAAGGTCAAGTGAAAAACAGAGGTCAAGATTTTTTCTTTTATAAATAAGAAAAATCTTCATACAAAAGTCTTGCTTTGCGCATTTTTTGCATAAATCAAGAAATAGTTTTCTTTGCATATAAAATATACATACATAATTTATATAAAAGTTCATTCGTACACTCTTGCATAACACGCTAATACTTGGTTACAACACACATGTTCGTAACTCCCATGACTTAGAGCGATATCACTGACCTTGTACATCAAAACTGCATTAAAGAAATATGAAACAGCAATAACTCTGTGAAACCAACGAAAAAAAAATATATATGTATATGCATATATATATATAAATATATATACGGTATATATATCGGCTGGGATGCGACAGGGTGTTCCAGAATTAACAATTACCTCTCTCTCTCACGTCTGTCTCAATAAAGCACTGCACTTATATAACAAATGGAAGTATATAGCACATTTTTTTCTCCCTCCCGTTGCATACACACGGCACTATCACATTAGGCGCGGGCGTGGTGTGGGAGTAGCGGGCGTGGTGTGGGCGTGTTGTGGGCGTAGTGGGCGTGGGGTGGGCGTGGGGCCGCGAGCACTCCACAACTCACTTGACTAGAGCGACCCCGGTACAGCGGCGCTCAGCCCCCAGCCCCGCTATAGGGATGCCCTGCCCCGCCCACGTCCTCGACCTGACCTGTGGGGGTTCTGGTGCCTTGTCACGGACACCAGCACTACCTCCCGTCCCCCCTTGCCAATGGCACGAAGCGAGCGGCCGTGTGTCGCCTCCCCAGGGTGTCTTGTAAGGAGGGCTACGGCGCTAGCCTCGCACGGGGGCTACACAAACACGCACTTAGGCCAGGGGTGGGCCAGAGGTGGGCGTGCGGGCGTTGGTGGGCGAGCTGGCACGTCAGGGTGCTAGCCCTCACGTCACTGGTGCGTCACGAAAGGTATCTGGCAGCCAGAGTTGACGTGCTCCATCACCTCCTGCTTGAGGGAACACACCTGATCCCGCAGCTTGTTCACCACCGCCTGCAGCTCGCCGTTCTCCATCTTCAGGCCGCGGACCTTGTCCTCCAGTCGGCCGATCCTCTCCAGCTTTCGTCGCCGGCACTTGGACGCCGCGATGCGGTTCCGGAGCCGCTTGCGTTCCAATTTAATCCGTTCCTGGCACTCCATGTTGATAGGCGAGAGAGGCGGAGAGCCGCTCACGTTGGGCACTATCTGCGGCTCCTCCTTGATCTGCGCAGACGGGAGGAGCCCCAGGTGCGCCGCAGACACATGGTGGTGGTGGTGGTGGTGGTCGGCCACGGAGAGGGACACGGCCGGCGCCGACGTGACGGGCACCTGCTGGTGCGGCAGGTGGGCGTGGTGGAGGGGCACGTCCAGCTGCGTGTAGTGCAGCGTCGCCGACGACACCGCAGGCGGCGGCGCCACGCTCGTCACCACCACGCTGCTGCTGCTGCCGATGGCATCCTGGTGGTGCAGCTGCTCCAACGTGTCCTCGAAACCCTTGGCGAATTCCTCTTCCTCGACGGTGGCGGTTTTGGTGGGGAAGAAGAACTGTGAGGGCGTGGTGGAGGCGTTGCCCAGGATGGTGCTTCCTTGCTGAATGATGAGTCTCTCCAGTTCCGGGGAGGCCAACTTCAGCTGGTTGAGGTCAGGAGAGGTGAGAAGGGGGTTGAAATTTCCACCAGGTCGCTGCTTCTTGGACGGTCTGTTGTTTAGATCCAGAGTAAGTCTACGCTTCATTTGGGTGAGGCTTTCCCTCGAGTAGTTGGCGTATGATCCGTCCTCGTACATGGTTGCCTCCATAACTAGTCAACAAACAACACTCAGTTCTTGGCACGTGGTGTAGCACGATGAGTCACTTATCGGACGGACTCAGTATGAGGCACCAAGTCTTATTCACCAGCTGCGAGACGGGTACACGTTCGCTCCCGGTGCTGGCTCGTGGCTATATGAGTCATCTGGTGGGAGAGAGCACATCTTATACGATTCTGTCATTTTCTAAAAATAGAAACATAACGTCATTTTCCAGCGCTCTCATTGGCCGATTGTGACATCATCGATTTCACAGAATGGCGACTCGAAGCTCTATTGGCTGATACCGAGAACTGTTAAGCTTCATTGTTGCCACATATACGAACAATGCTCTCATATGTGCCCTGTTATAAAGGAAATGAAATGTTACTGTTAAAATAAAATTACGGTATTAAAATCAAGTTAGTAAATTGGAATGAATAATAGTGAAATAAGTGTATATTTATACCAATATCATACTTGAATGCGATGTTTTGGAGATCTGGCATAACCACACAGGAATAAGATCCAAACTTTCAGCCAATAGGAGAGCAGCTTTGTGTTGTGTGTAGGCAATGGTTTTGAAATATGTTTCTTAGAATGTTCTATAGACAAATTATCGTTAGAGTCCACATATTTCACAGCACTAACACAGCGAGAAATTCCACCGCACACAAACACCTCGTTGAGTTAGTGATATTAATATTGAGGGAGCGGGGTGGCGGTGGCGCATCAAGTGAAGTCTGGCAAGAATGGAGCGTAAGAGAAGCCAGGTCGTGATTACTGGTGGTAGACGGGGGCTGGTAGTAGGGCTGGTAGTGGTGGTGGTGGTACCAGGAACTAGTCTACCACACTACACACACCCACCACATGGCAAACGTCTCTTCCTCCCACAACGTTTGTTGTACCATGACAAACGCTGCGCGTACTAGTGGCTTTACAAGAATGAAATTACTATGCTATGTATCCTCACAATCCCAATGTACCTTCTTGTATATATATATATATATATATATATATATATATATATATATATAAATAAATAATAAATAAATAAATAAGCGAGCAGCAAGGGGGGCTACTGCTGCTGCTGCTATACGCCTAGCTTCCACCAAGACTGTTTTTGTTCCGTTATTGAGGCTGGTATGAAGATTGGCCGCCGTCAAGGTCTCTCCCCTGGCGCCAGTAGTTACTTGGTGCAGGGGAGTGTAAACACTTATTAAAACCATCAATTCAAACCAATGTTGCGTTTCTAGGACATTCTTCCTGCTTACCGAGTAGTTGATAAGCTTTTGTCTTAGGTTTCCGGTGATAAAGCAGTGGGCCTGCACAATGCCTGGATTTTGTTTTCGGTGAAACAAACGATATGAAGATTATAGAGATAAGATTGTAAAGTAGTCCAGAATGGCAGAGTATCTTTGAGAGCTTATGAAAATATGTTAGTGATAGTGATTGATAAGATAGGTATTCGAGATTGTCGCGCGCCGGTAGCACTCACACCACTTAGATCTATATACCCTCAGTGTCACGACTGAGTACACATTACTTTTTATATATATATACTGTACTGGTCTAAGTATATACATTTGTCTATCTTCTATCTATCTAGCAGGTCTCTTTATTACCTTCCGTTCCCTCGATCTCCATTTTTTCCTTCCACCTCCCTCTTCCGCTCTTTATCCCTTCCACTCCTTGCTTCATCTTCTCTCTTTCTTCCACCCACTTTGTCTATTAACCTCTTCCTACTGCTTGTCCCCTCCCACTTCCCTTGACCATCTCCCTCTGCCTTTCCCTTTAACCACTCCACTTTCTCTTCCTTCCTATTCTTTCCTCTCCCTCCTTTCTTCCTCTCTCATTTGTCCTCTCAGCTTATAAATGGCAGACCAATTATTAAATTATTGAAATGTTAAAATAACTATAATTGATTACAAGTATTTATTATTTTACGTCATAATCGCTCACTGCCAAAAGCTTTATGATAAATTGCATGATTTACCATTTAAAGAACAAGAGTCACAAATGCCCAGACGACAACAAAAAACAGCAAGATATAATATTAAAGTGTTCAGTGGGGACCCACAAGGTCTTCTCTGAGTACTCTTTATTTTCTTCTCCGAGGCTATGGGTCCCTACACTTGCACCAGTGGTGGTACCCCTTTTAGGTTCAATATATATATATATATATATATATATATATATATATATATATATATATATATATATATATATATTGTTATGATCTCAGCCTACAGGAGAAACGAGTCTCCCTCCTTGAGAGTCATTCGTCAAGCCTGACCTGATTAGAAGGTCTAGCATATATTGAGGTGATAACCCATATGAAAAATAGTATGGTGGATTCAATGAGCAGTTTAAGATTATGGGCAGTAAGTAAGGAAATAGATAAATGACTGGCTAGGAGATGTGGACATTTTGCTGGAGGCGTGAGGCTCGCTTCTGGAGGACCTTGACCTCACTTGAGTGCCAGACATCGCAGGGGGAAGCCGCGCTCCGTTGAGCTCCCGTCAGAAGGGAACCCCTAGTGATATATCTCTAAGAAAAGAGAAGTGTGCAGACGTGCCAGCTGTGGAATCGAGCTGGGGACGTGTGGTCTCAAGTCGTGGACGATAATTAGTGAATATTAAGCCGCCCGGAGGCATTATTGTGGGCCGTGGAGCGCCCTGACCAAACCTCGTCAGAGGAAGAAGCGCCCTCGACCAGACGTTCTGTGGTAAGCACGATATACGCCAGTTCATAGTGATTGCATTGTAGTTGGTCGTGTGCCCAGCGACAGTAGCGATGTTTATTTATAGGTTAGACATGTTTTAATAAGGCAGAAGGCCTGAGATAGGAGAGTGAAGAGGGAGGAGCACGGAGCGACGTCCGTCCTCTCTGAGCTCTGGCGGACGACTGAGGGAGCCTGGCTCCGGATGGAGGAAGACCCTCCCAGCGAGTGAGGACGCCGCCGCCAGGCGAGGTGGAGTATGGACCCGCCCAAAACGGGGGAGTCCACTCTCACTGTATGTAGAGAACAGATAGAGGTTTGAGGCAAGCATATTGTGTGGTTATTTTTGTTTATGTGTTAATGGGGAACATTCTATTGGAACGTCGATGGGTTGCAGGTTTGTCTTTGGGGAAGAAGTTGCTGAGAACTTCGAAGCCAGCAGATGATGTAGCTGATGAGACTCCAAGGTAGTGGAGCAGAGGACCTCGAGCTGTGAGGAGAAGCAGCAGTGAAGAGGAGTGTCACGTGCTTCTGTAGAGGTGGTGAAGCACCATAGTTACTCGAGGAAACTTCATGGTGTAGCAGCCAAGAGAGCTGTGGAAGAACCTAACAGAAGGGTGAAGCACCGTAGTTACACAAGGAAACTTCATGATAGCAGCCGGGAGGAGCTGCAGAGGATCCTGGTAGTGAAGCCCGGAAGAACCTAAGGATATTAGGGTTGTGAACTTCCGGAGGTGGAAGGGGAAGTTCTGGTGGATTACTAGTAGGGAGTTGATAGTGTTTGGTTGTCATTAGCGTGCAAGACGCAGTGAGAGGTGAGTGACTGTTGGCATTCTTATGTCAAGGAATTTTTTTATACTGAAGTATCAATGAACATTTATACTGGTATATGTTATTGCATTCAAATGCTGATTTTCTATATATACATTATCTTGCTGATAGTGCAACAGTGTATGTAGGCTTGACCAACTTGAGGAGGTTAATGGTATCAGGTGGCGAACCAGGAGATAGGATACCCCTTGATAAGCTGATAATAGAGTTCTGATGGTGTTGGAGTGCAACCTGATTGTGATATTATAGAGTATAGGATTCATTATTATTATATGTGTGTATGTATCGTATATGTGCCTTGTCAAGTAAATGTGTCACAATTTGCTGGTGTTTGCCCTTGTCCTAGTGAGGCTTCCCAGGAGGTAGTAAAGAAGGAGAGAGAAAGAACCAAGAACCACTGCTGTGGACAGGGTAGAAGGTAATATTAATAAGTCAAAGGGGGATCGAGGAGATCATATCACCTAAGGAGAGAGTGGGGAGTCACAGCGGCTCGAGTGGGTGTGTGCACGTGACAACGAGGCTAAGTGTTGGAGCCGCATCCCCTAAGCGTGTGACGTTGAGCCCCTCTCCAAGAGCCAGAAGCGCCAAGGGTGATCTCCTAGTATAAGCACTCTGCCGAGTTGTGGGTTGGGTTGTCCATAGAGAAGGATCGACGACGACAACACCAACCAACCCACGAGTCTATAATAAATTGGGGGCCTGTGTCCGGGAGAGTGAACTGACACACCCACACCCTGTCCAAGAGTGGATTTGTACACCCTTGCTGAAATAAACTGTGTGACCGCAGGTGTATATTCTCTCTTGGGAAGACTCACAGGACAAAGATGGATAAGGTGCAAGCATTTGTGGAGTCAGGCAAGCCTGAGGACTTGGAAGGTTGCACGAGGGATCAATTGAAACAAATAGCAGAAAAATGTGGCATCAGGTTGAAAGCATCTAAAGTAGCTGGGATGAAGGATGAGATCCTGAGGCAGTTAAGAGCCAAAAGTGAAGCGGCAGAGCAAGGAGCCCAAAAAGGAGCTGAAAGTGGAAAGGAGGATGATGGGCAGGATGACGTGAGATCCCAGGGATCAAGTAGGAGCAGCAGGAGTAGCCGCAGTAGCAGGAGTAGCCGAAATAGGAGCTTGGAGAGATTCCAGTTAGAGCTCCAGATGCAGCAACAACGAGAGGACAAGGAGAGACAGTTCCAGCTGGAAAAGATGAAATTGGAACTCCAGATGAAAAATGAAGCCGAGAAAACCAAACTGGAAGTAGAAAAAGAGAAAACCAGAATAAGAGAACTGGAGTTGGAACAAGAGAAAGAAAAAGAGAAAGCAAGACTAGAGGTCGAAAAAGAAAAAGCCCAGGTCGAAAAAGAAAAAGAGAGAACAAAACAAATGCAGATAGAAGCGAATAGAACCTTGGCTGAACAAAGGATTGAACATGGGTTGCCAGAGAGCACCACCCAGGTATCACACCCACCAGATGTTAGGGTTAGGGAGAAGGACATTCCCTTGTTTGTTCCCGAAGAGGCAGAGAGCTTCTTCGAGCATTTTGAGAAAGTAGCCAGCATCAAGGAGTGGCCACAGGAGGAATGGGCCCAACTGGTCCAGTTAAGATTGACCGGTGCAGCCAGGGAGGCAT